GCTTTGGCCGATGGGGGGTGGGAGGGCTTTACCAGACCGATAGGGGCTAAGCCCCCATTTCCACCCCCCGGCTGGTGCCGCCACTGCCAGTAGGTGTAAAATTGGCCGGTTACGCCCATTTACCCCCAGTTTTTAAATATTCAAAAATCTGTATCTCATTCACCGTTCCCCAGTTCTTCGTCAAACAACTTTTTTCTATCATAGAAATATCAGGCCTACTTTTTATTATTTTTTTAATGCATCGCCAGGTGCAGACTAAGTGAGAATTTTATTGGTCTAAAGATAAAGTTGTGCAAGGCAACTTCCTTGCTTGGTGTAAGTATATCTTCTTGAGTCCCCCCTCCCAAAATTAGGAAATGTTTTTAAAAAAGTAACACTAAGACAGTCGTACGCGGCATTCTAATCTAAAGAATTAGATTGTGTAGCTATTGTTGGAGTCGTGAAAAATAATTATATTCGATAATTTGTAAACACGTTTTCTGCCGAATGACTCTAATGAGTGTTGTAGGTGTGGATATATTATTATGTTGGATATTATGTTGGCATTAATTGATTATATACTCATAAATAAAATTCGCAAAAAAAATAACCGATGTACGTTAATCTATACCAAAAGATTGTACTTTTATTCTATAGGCCTAGATATGATCTTTTCTCTTTTTTTTCTTTCTTCTCTTCCTCCCCACCCCCCTTCCCCTCCCTGGATACGCCCTGTATACAAAAACAGTTTTTTGTCAAAGAATATGTGATAGTGTGACTGAGCTTAAGAAGTAATAGAAAGAAATCGCCTGTAAGCTGTATAGACTATTGCAGTGGAAGTACACAATTGAATTATGGTGTAAAGTGTAAATTAAAATTTAAAGAAGAATAAAATAGTATTGAGGGATGGTGGGATATTAGGGTCATCATAAATATGAACTTTTTACAATAAATGCAAATGTTATGTCCGATCATGCTCCGATGAAGAGCTGTAAAAACACTAAGCGGCCGTTAGGGACAATATACTCCACTGCCTCTATTATACTGCCCTCATCGGAGTTTTCGAGATTAAGAGAACTTGTTTTGTTCAAACTATGTCACTAGTTATCGTTCACTAAATTTCTCACTTAGTAAACACTTAAATATGGATGTTGTGATCCTACGGTGGCAGATACCCTATCTATAGCACAATTTGTAACGAATGAATGATTGGTTGGATGAGTTTCAAATCATGTTTTCAAAATACGGTATGCTATTTATCTACAGCCAGCCTGGATGCCAATAAACCAATGACAATCTTTCTTTGGTTATCGGACTATATTAATGCTCAAAAGCTTTTTTTTTTAATGTTTGCAACTGATGGTCTCATTATTATTATAATTTATTTTGTATAATAATTAGTAAGCTGTTACTTATAGTAGCTACAAGTTCAGAACATTCCATGGGGCTGAAATAAATAATAATATCGTGGTAACCCCCTACTCTTCCGAAATGGGTTCTTTAAAGCCAAATGTGTACTGTAACACTGGACCACCATTTAAATCCTTATCTAAGAAGAATTGGTTCTACCAACGAACCCTGGGCGAGAAGCAGCAGAACCTGCACCAATGTTAAGGCTGTAGTTAGCGGAGCCCCTGCCTTACTGCTTGTCTCGCCCAAACGTAAGTTTAAAAAAATGCAACTGCTCATTTAAAAGGATCAACTTCTAATGAGACACAGAAAACAATTCAAATTTTACATACTTTTTACTACAAGTTCTTCAGTTAATTACAGTATTATCAAATTCAGAGTCTACACAAAATAGTATTTAAAATCTTGTGATTTTTTTTAAACATTAATTTTCAATTGCTAATAACATACTTGCATATACTGTACAATAATAATGTATACATCTTTAACTACATTTTTTGATCAATCACCTTTCAGTTGGTATTTCACAGCGTAGTAGTGTAATAATGCTTGTGATGCTACTATTAATAATTAACTATGCATGCCATGATTGTTGACATTTCCGCTCTAAGTCATGGTCAAAGTCATACTATGGAGTTAGTAACATTAAATAACACAATGGTTATACATATAGATACAAGGTAACAAAAACTATGAAAAATAATATTAATTTATAAAATATATGATATTAGTATTTTTAATAATTATGATTAATTTAATATGCATGAAATTAAAAGATTATACAGAAGTCATCACTCAAATGGATGACAAATTTTATCCTCTTTTATCTACCAAGCCTAGATAGGGGTCTCCAGAAGCCACAGCATACTGTATGATGGGAAAGTAAACAGACTCACTGTGCAGAAGAGTTGAGATCCCTCAAAGCATTGCACAGCCTAGCCCCAATGCTTACTGTAAGAAAAAGAGAAAGGCACTCCAGGCTGTACATCTCCAGACTGTACCCAGCAGTATTAATGGGTACCATCAGCATCTCTATCAGCATTACCCAGCATCTATCAACATTACCTCAAACATTTAATTTCATATACTGTAATGTAATAGTATTATCAATTTTTTCTCACACATAACACATTTCAAAGTAGAGTTTATCAGCTTAAATGTGTTGAATGATTTGAGTCTATTCGAGCTGTCTCATCAATCTTAATCTCTAAAGTCCTTTACAACTGAAATTTGTGGTTTTATCATCAAATTATTTGTAGTTATACCAAAATACTATTATTTTTAATTGAAATTGAAAAAGAGCTTTGTAAATTTATCATTTATACATTTTATAATTATATTATTGCATCTTAAACTTCACAAGCATTTCTGATGTAGGCCTATATAGCATTTACACTGAATAAAAAAATAATGAAAATGATGGTCTGCCTTCCACTTATATTTCCTGTTTCAAAGATGCTGTAGCATTACTTTTACTTTTAAAAAGTTGCTTGTACCCTTTCCTTCTACTGATTCGACTAAGTTTTTTGGGCGACTCCTTCTGCTCTTCAATCTGTGGGGCATTATTCATATATCCTGCAAAAATTACAAAAAAAAACACCCCAATTTTATGTAATGTACATTTATATAAAAACCGAATCCTAATACAACTAACTATACTACTATTTTATGGGCCATAATTTAAGTGGGATGTAATGCTGACCACTCACATTAGGCCAAACACAAAAAAAATTGTTTGTTTTCCCTTCTTTTTTTAAAAATGATAAATAGGGAGTGGGTGGAAAAATGTTTTTTTTTTATTTATTTTTTTTAAGATACTCATCAGATGGAATAAAAATAACCCACAGAGGCCTAAAATGGCAATATCTTACATCAGACAACAACTTTAGACTAATTTGTAGGGCATCTGGCAAAAAATACAGATAAATTCACTCACATTTTTTTAATTTGTAAAGAAAAAAACTAAAAAAAAAAAACCTTTTTTTAAATCTTTTTGTTTTTCCGGCCCTATTTTTTTCAGTGAGTTAGGGGCGGGTGGAGGAGGGCAAACGTAAACATTTTTTTTTTGGTCTTATAATTGTGACAATATAAATTTCTCAAACATCATCTCAAACATTCAATCTCCTGTACCTTACTTTAATCCTCATCAAATGAATGATTGCGTGCACATTATATTACAAAATTGAAGTAAAATCACTAAATGGCTCATACCTCTACGGAGGCATGTTTCAGTATCAGGAAAATCTACGTCCCAATAATGAGGTTGCGTGGGAGGTGGAGAATACTTTGCTCGATGACGTGAACATGATTTCATCCGATCAGCCTTCTGCGAGTCTGTTAAATCCATTGCACTGAAATACTAAAACGATTGAAAAGGTTTACGATAACCTCTCTGCTACCAACAGCAACATATTATATTCAGTAAAATATTCCTTTAATATTTTTGAAAGGTGTAAATTAAAAATTCAAGAATGGCCTAATTTTACTCTAGCGAAAAACATGAGATTTTGTTTGAAAATTTATTCATATAAATCTTTTATAGAATATGAGTATGTTTAACAATACTTAACTACTAGAAATAAAAAATCAAAACATAGTATATATTCTGTACAATCAGAAAAAGGTAGGCAGACCATGGGATGCTAATAAACAAAATGATTATCGTGTTAAACAAAGGCCTAGTTAGCACCTTTCGCTTAGATAAATAATACAAGATATAAATCTCTTACATATTTTATCTCACAACTAAAAATTCCGCTACTCCCTAGCCTAATAAAGAGACTTCGCTGATAATAAGCATCACATTAATATTTATTTTTTTTAAAGAGGGCCCCTGAATATTAGCCGACCTTCTAGGACATGCTGGAAGGGTCACCTCTATAAATATGGTTTAAAAAAAAATGTTTTTTTAAATAAAAAAATAATTGAAAAATATTGATTGTTTATCATTGAAAGCTAATAACTTACAAACTAAACAATTCAAAACATTTCAAGTTTTATAGCTCAACACAAACAGTAAATCTTTAACAGAAATAAATGTTAAAGTTTACTTACTGCTTCGCAGTCCTTGCATTCAAATCCTCTTAGCTTTCTCCGGTCGGCCTGTTTACGTACTACTTCAACATATTTATACTGAGGCTCCAGTTCAGCTGATGGCAAACTGCAGAGAACCAAAAAAGCAAATAAATATAATTTAGCGTGTATAATATTCAATAAATAAATTGTTGGTAAGCAAAAAATTATCAAAACAGAAAGTAGTTTCCCCATCAAAGTCATCATTGCAACCATCATCTTCATATTTCATACATGTTTTGTTACTTTGATCAACATCATTATCCTCATAATTTCCGACCATCCTCAACAAATTATAAACATCAACAAAGTCACCACTGTCATCATGACCACTATCACCATAGTCATTAGTTACCACCTTTATATCCCTATATTCATAATCAATCACCTTCACCAGTGGCGAATCCAGGAATTCAAAATAGAGGGAGCCCTGGGAGGGACCATCATAAACGGAGGGTCTAGAGTACTTCTATATGGCCAGAAATGGCCATCTTTTTTCTACTTTTTTTTTATAAATCCGCCAATGTTCACTACCAACACTTTTAACATTTATAAACATCACTTACTCATCAAAACCCTTGAGAAAAGAATCAGCAGGTTGCTTCATCACATCCTTATTAGAAATTTCATCAGAAGTGTCTGAAAAAGGCAAAAATGTACTCATTACTAAAACATCATAACCATAGAAAACTTGGATAAAATCAACAAAACCATAAAGTTTGCACATCAGTTGAAATTCTCTTCAGGAAGAATAATTGCTCCAAAAAAAACATAATGCTGACTTTGATACACCTTCAATTGTATATCTGGAAAAAATGATACATACAAAGCATACAAAGAACTTCATTAAACAATGATCAATATAACAAAATATTTTGTACTAAATTTTCACATCTAAGTGATATGGATTTTGATGAGACACATTTATAAAAAAAAAATTAATATAAAAACTGTTATCTTGAACATTACCTGGTTCCTGAATGTCCTGATTTGTACCATCTGCCTCAGGTCCATCATCACCTGCAAACATGTCATCATGGCTTAGATTCTCATCCTCCTCTGTATTCACATCAAATCTTTGTGGAGGAATCTCTTTTGGCAGGTCGTTAGTACCAATGTTTTCTTGAATGCATGGCACCTCATTGATGATGCAAACCATACCAGATGTCATGACAACAGAGGCAGGCTTCTGATCTGTAGATGATGTTGATTTTGGGTTTTTGAGATAATTTGATGGTGGTTGTGGGGTGTTCTCCTCAAAGTTGCTAAGATCAATGGCAGGATCAATGGTGCCATTCAAGAAGCTACCATCACCAGCATTTTGATTATTTTCTATAATATTATTGTCCTCCTGACATTGATTTCTTTTATCAGCTGGTATGAATGGTTTCTTAAAATCTGATGTGCTATGGTCTTTTAATTCTTGAAGAGATTCCTTAATGGCTTTTTTTAAATAAACATCATTTTCACTACTATAAATTATCCCTCCCTTGGACCCTTTGATAAGAGAGGTGGCATGAGATTTGCCTCCTTTCATCATTGTCAAAGTTTTCTGCACAAGTTTATGTCCAGTAGGAGAATCAGAGTTGCTTTTTGTAGGTTTGACTACTTCTTGCTGGTTAGAAGACCATTTTGCAATACTATGGTCAACAATATGTTCTTGTTTGTTTCTTTTACATTCAAGAGATTTAGAACTCATAGATCTGACGTTTTCTTCATTTGATTTATCTACATCAGCAAGTTTCCTTTTCTTAGTGTTAGCGGATGTTCCTTTCACTTGCAAATTGTCAGAACCTTCGTTACTGAATTTGTCCATAAATGCTGCTCTCTGGGAATCACATTTGGATTCTCGTAGCAAAAATGGTGATGTATCAGACAAGAGACTTTCATTTCCTATCTGCGCACCAGCCATAGGGGTCTTCGGGGCAAGAAAGATAAGATTTTTGCTGACATTTTGGCGACATTTTTCAGTGTCTTCATTGGTGACAGCAGGTGAGACATCTTTTTGGAATGTTGGTGATGGAATTTGTGTGTTGACAAGATCAACTGGATACTGTGATTCTGACTTTGGCAGTGAAGTGCGACGGTGAGCATGCTGCCTCTTGACATGGTTTTCTAATCGACTGTTCCGGTTCATGGTCTGCTTTAAATTCTTAACTTTTGGTATGGTCGGTGTACTGTAAAATTGTGGTGCCTTTAATAACGTGTCCTGGGTGTGGGTGTGTATTACTGTCAAGTCATCATCCTCGACTTGAAGAAACTTGTCTGTATTTATTTTAGGCAAAACATCATGTACTTCTGGTACAATCTGTGTGCTGCAAAACTGGGGGGACTTCAGTGAAGTGCCCTGAGTATTTAACATTGTCATATCATCATCTTCGAAAGCACATGTATCTGGAACTATAACAGTGGATTTTTCAATTTCAATTTCACTTATCCAGTTCTTAGTTCTTTCATTTATTAATTTGACGTCAGGAGTTTTAACATCTGAAGAACTTAATATATCATCATCATATGTAACATCTAAAAACATGTCTGGCTCGAAGGTTTCTGGGACAGAAATAATTTGCTGGTTAATAGCAAAGTCACTGACAACAAGTTTAGGTTTTTCCTCACCAACACTTTTTTGTTTCTCTTGAGAACAAAGATTCTTCAATACTAGAGTACTGCTTCTTTCAGTTAAGTTTTCGTTTCTCAAGTTTGACATAAGTGGAGATCCTGACATCATTAAATTAGCTGATGGTTCAGTCTTGATGCCAATCTTTCTGCTAAGCCTATTTTTATTCTTCTTGACTTGACGAGATGGATTACTAGTTCCATTTGTGGAAGACAGCACAAATGAGGGCGGACCTATTGAGGAGAGATTTATCAATTCAATCAAATCTTTAAACATAACAAGTCTAATACATTTCCATCACCACTGCTTACTTTAAACATAACTAATAGTACTTTCTTATCTAATAGCAATGAAAATAGGCAATTAAGCTTTAAGTTTTTTTTTTTTACAATTTTTGATAATTTAGTAATGGGTAAAGAACCAATAAAAATAATTATAGTTCCATTTTCATTTTTTTGATAATATAGCCCAACGACAAAAATTAGCAGGTGCAACTGCCAATTGAAAGATGGAAAAATGTTGTACTGGAACATATGTGTACAACACTTAATATTAAAAAAAATAATAATACATGTAACAATGACAACAACAATAATTAACTAAAATAACCAACTACAACATCAACAAGCTCACAAATTTCCAGTTGATGCATGTTATAAACTTACTTGATGTCACAACTGAAATATCCAAGTGGGATTTCGGCTGCTCTTTGATAATCACCTTGCATCGTTTGCACACTCTGGGAAATAAGCAAGCTGACATTTACTAAACAATAGTAATAGTCTCAAATAATTCCTGGAATTAATTTTCTTGTTAGGAGAATACTGACAATGTTGGTCACATCATCTGTGTCCTTGGGCATGGCACTTTATCTCTCCACAGCCAAGAGTGCGAATACTGATACTGATACGAAATAATTCATTGTCCAACATAAAAGAAGGAAATGCACTCGAAAAATGACAAACACTTAAAATCACAGTACTGAATATTAAAATATATATAATTATTATAAACAATGAAAAATTTTAATATATTAATATGTACAAGAAAAATAAAATTATATACAAAATGCATACAAATAGAACATTGCATTAGGAAGTAATATATTATATAATTATTAATTATTATCATTTGACTCATGGAGATATATAAAATAATTACCTCCAGCACCGACTGCACTAAAACAAACGCTACCACATGGCTATCTCCTGGCCCGAGAATTAATTAAGTGGATTTAATTGGCTACAAATGCGTATCGGGAACGATTTGTTCTTGTTTTAGGGACACAAAGTCTACCACTGTGCACTCTATGAACAAACTGTTCATTTAGGGTATTTAGGGGTATCACTCATGCTGCCCAGTGCAGCTTTATAACTTGGTCCTCATAAAGACGGGTGTTTATTGTACAAGTTTAATGTGAAAGCTTAAATATGTTTGTACATGGCCATGACCTCTGTACATACAGTAGATTATTATTCTAATTGCCTGGAAGAACTCACCTATCTTTTGCTGGTTCTTTCATCTTTGTTTTCATCGCCTCCATTTTTTTCAAGAGTAGCCTACATTTAGAGTGATATTTCTTTGCAAGACAAGCATTCCTTTGTTGAAAGTAAACAGAGGGGATTAATGAGATTGTAAAAATAATTCATATAGCGTCAAACTACAAAATATATGAATCCAATTTTGAGCCATAAAAAAAAAAAAACACTTTAAAATTCAAATTTAACCGGGCTGGCCACATATAATATTCTTACAATCAAGAGCAACTTTGTTCACTGTTGTTGGTGCAAACAATATAAAAAGAACTTACTCATTTGCAAATGTTCGTATCTTTTGGTATTTTTTTGTCAGTTGTTCAACCTCTTCTTTCAATTCTATTGAAAAATAAAACAGTGACAAACTCGTAATAATATTTATTATCATAATATAATTTGTCACATTATGCATTATATGTCAGTGTTGTAAAAACATCACCTTAATATGACTACTGTATAAAAACTTACTATTCACAGTCTGTAAGTGTGTTTCTTGCAGTTTGAAGAGGTAGGTAGTGAATAGTTCTTGATCCACCATTTTAATTTGAGAAGAAACCAGGAAGCCTAGAATTAGCTGACACCTAAAGAAAATTAATGAAAATATACAAATTAAAATGTAGGTCACGATATTAAACCAAAATAAAAAAGTAATACACTGGTCATGCAACCCGGGGGGCTCACTCTTAAATATTTCCATACGGGTAGGTGCTGAATTTACGGGGATATTTTGAGGACTTGGTAGCACAAGTGTGGGAATTTATGGAAGAGTATCAGGATGTATAGATATATTTGCAAAGACTTGGTAGCACAAGTGTATGAAATACATGAAAAATTGGTAGTTAAAGTCCCTGCCCCGTCCGTCCTGTATCAAAAGTAGCATAATTTTTCACATGATTTTAGCGGAGGTTTTTTGCTAAACTCAGTGCTAAATCTACTGTTGAAAAGTAGGGATCACAAACAGACAGAACCGCGGTCTTTATTCACGATTGAGAACAAGTACAAGTGTAATATGGTAGGTTAAATGGCCGTAAATAGTAATTCAACGGACACCGGATTTTGGTAAATGGTAGTTCAAGTCGCTAATAATTTTAAGTAAAATAGGTAGCACAAGAGTCTCGTGTCTTGGAGGGAGTGGCTGCTGCACCCCCACCCCCCTGTAAAGTTGGTATACAAGTAGTAAGCTCCCCGGGTGTTATGTTGAATGTATAGCGCCACCAATCACTGCCTCACAAACGTCCAGGAAAGAAAATTTCGCGACCCGGCCACAACGTCTGCCACCCAACCATTAAGAAGAAACATGTCTGGCATAGCCTAGTAGGGTAGGGGTTCGTAGTGGCTAGCCCTAGTAGCTTTCATCAATGTTTTAATGTCTCGACCTAGTTAACCCTATATCATATCTTACACAAAGAAAATAGAGAATACTCTAATGTATAGACTACCCACCATTACCGACAAAGTTGTAGTTATTTTGGTTGCAGTACATTCGAAAACTTCCGCGGCGCGCGATGCCAGTAGTGTTTTGCTGCAGTGATCAAAGATCTTATAAGATCTTTGGCAGTGATGCTCGAGTATGTGTGGTGGCGCTATATAGCACATGTGTTGCGTTTGTTTTTATTTTGTTTTTTTAGATTTGGATGTGGGGTGAGGAGTGTTCTTTGAGATTTCATGAGGCGGTTTGGTGCTCATTCAGAGCATTTTGAGAATATACCCTTTCTACTTTGAATACAATACTCAATTGATTTGTAGAGTTTAGTCTTGTCATTGCACAGTGAATTCATACGGGTAGGCGCTAGGCCTAGGCCAACCAAGTTTTACAGTGTAGCAGGCCAAGGCTGCTCTAGTACTCGTAGCTGGAAACTCGGTCTGATTAGGGCTAGCTGTTCCAGCCCAGTGAGGCCTACCACCCATAGGCAGGGAAGGTGCATATGCGTGGATAAGTATATGTAGGCCTAGCTTACTGGTTTTGCTACTCATTTATTTAACGAAATTGAACGAATTATGGGCATTGTTGTCAATGGTATGACTTTAATACTAAATAGTACTTTAATCAGATATTAGTTAGTTTATCTGCTTTATTTTAACAAAAAATTGTCAGATATTAAAATTGTTTTTTTCCTCAAGATACAAGATTTATCAGTCAAACCTATGCATTGATGCAATGTTAAAAGGCATGTTAAAATATTTAAACAATAAGAGGAGTTAAAACATTAAAAGCAGTTAAAATATTAAAAGCTTTTCAAACTGTTGCAGTGCTTGAATAACATTTGTGTAAAACACACAGAAAAAAATAAATAGGAAGTAGGCTCAACAATTAAATTTAGAATATACTATAGTTTAGTATTTACCCATTTTTGTTAACCTATTATTTTGAAATAAAAGAGCTTCAAAAGTCAATTAGTACTAAATTTCTGAATAGCATAATGCTAGATCCTTTGTTTCTTTCTGAACTGTGCTATGATAACTTCTTTTTATCTTACAGGTTTTGAAAAGAAAAGGTGTGTATACACCGTCACCATAGTAACACAGGAGAAGCACAGATTACTATACATACTGTGCTTGAAGGTTAACAAATTGTGAATTTGAACCTGTCAGCAACATGGCTGATGATACTGTAGTCAAAACAGAGGAAGATCATGTAGTTGAGAACCCAAAAGATGACCCTTTAATGGAAGTACTTCCCGTAAACATTGAAAACAAAGCAGATGATTCTGTAATTTCTTTTGTTAAAGATAATAAAACAATTAGTGAGGGACCATTTATCATATCAGATGATAATGTTTTGAGGAGTGGAGATGATTCAGCAAATTTTGAAGCAGAGGATGTTGTGAACCCTGAGGCTGACGATACACAGATGAAAAGTGATGTGAAAATTCATGTGGAAGGGAATGTAGAAAAAAAGACTATTTCCAGTGAAAGGCATATAGAGGAGGAAAATATATCAATCACCATGGATACTGAAGATGTGCCACCTGTAGACTCCAGGTGATAATTCATGGCCGTGAATTATATTAACAATAATAACCTTATAGTAACAGTCAAAACATACAATTTTTTTTTCTGTTAATTCGATGGCAAGGAAATCATTCTCTTAATTTTTATTTTCTTATAATTTTATTTGATTTTTCAGTTTATTAGCTCAACAAAGAACAGTTTTAGTGGAAGAGAATGAAAAAGAAAAGATCAGTTCCAGCAAAGCATGCAATAATGAAGGGACATGGGTCACCATGGATACAGAAGATGTTCAAAATGTAGACACCAGGTGATGAATAGTCATGACCTTAACTCATCAATGCAAGAAAATTGTATAATGTTCAAGCACAATTTAGTGGAACATTTTTTAAAAATAATTATTAAAATTTATTGAGGCTAGTCCTGCAGCAATCCCAGTAAAAAAATAGTTAGAGTAATTAAATTTACTACCTTTTTATTTTTTTTATTTATTCATTTGACACCACTGCCCGAGCGACACAAAATCAGGAAACCCACTAACTCCCTGAAAGAATATTAGTTATTAACTTCTAATGAGACAGAAAATGATTAGCTCTCAATGAATTATGAACTGCGAAAAGGAAATGGCATCATATTCATCTAATAATTGTAAATACAAAATAGGTAATGAGTAATATTATGGTAAAAGTTGAATGAAATTTGACCTTTAGTAATAAATAGGCCTTATAGTGGTGTAGACTGGTCTTTTAAGAACATTTTGCTGGAAACATTTTTTGGATACGACGCCCCGTTATGGAGTTATGATTTTTTAAATAACATGATGTCAGAAAATCGCCCAAAAGCTTATCTTATTTCTGTTGGTTACGCACCGCTGATTTGCAATGTTTGTCATCACTTCATGATGTCTACCAATTTGTGAAAAGGGCCTATTAGCATAGGTATTGATTTTATTAATTTGATGCCTAAATTTTATTCATTGGTTTTGTGTGAAATATTGATAATGTATTTTTCACTGCCTTAGGGTTTATAATCCTGATTGGTCAAAGGCTCCCTACCAACTAATAAGTACCACATCAGAATTTGAAAATAAAAAGGAAAACTTTCTAAAAGGTTGTAAATGGTAAGATCATTTATTTTATTGACTTTAAATTTATCAGGAATAAAGTCTAATCTTAAATTATTTGATTAGGGAATTGATTAGAAAATTGTGAAAATCTTTTTAATATTTATTTAATTTTGTAGTTTTCTATGTTGTTGTTCATTTATTTTGATAGTGTCTATTTTAATGATAATTATAGGCCAAGCTACAGTATGTTGATTTATATATTTTTGATAGTACAGTATGTTGGCCATATTATATACATGTACTGTATGTTATTAATCGGTCTTTGCTATGTAGCACATATGCACTTTATGTATATGTTGACCAAATATTGGCCTAAAAAAGGATAAATATGTTAATACTAAAATTATTTTTATTATTTAGAATAATAAAAATTAGAAGAAATATCAAAACCTTCGAATTTATTTTTAGGGCTCCTGATGGATCATGTATTCTCACAAACAGCGATGATAATATACTCAGACTTTTCAATCTACCTTCGGAATTATGGGAGGAAAATAGAGAAGGTGACTTACCTGAGTGGAGGTCTGTTTTACAGATGTCGGAAGGAGAGTTGATTTATGATTACTGTTGGTACCCAGGAATGAGCTCAGCTGAGCCATCTACTGCATGGTACTGTATTTTATTTTTTATCTAACAGTGACAACACTTAAGTATTATTCATAGATGAAAAGCAGCCAAAATATTGCGAGGGTACATGGACTGAATAAAATTTGTTTAGTATTGATAGAGCATGGCAGCAGTGGCATATCTAGAAGCCTTGAAAAAGGGGAGCTAATGGGGGGGGCGCGCGCGAAAGTGAAGTGGGGGGCTTGGCAATCTATTGAGGGATGCTAACTTGCAAAATAATGTGATTTTAGGTGATTTTTAACTGCTTGCCAATGATTTTTTCGTTGGTGGGGGAGCGACTAAGGGCGCAATTAATTTTTGGAGGGGCGTGCGGCCCCCCCTGGGCACCCCGTAGTTGTGCCACCAGATGGTAACAACCATGAGACTGCATCAAATATCTATTTGCATGTGAACTGTAGCCATGTGCAGTAGTGGCACCAGTGGGGGCAGGGAAGTGGCCAACGAAAAATATTAATTTTCCTATCCAAATTGTGGTCTAAAAGCACAATTTTGGGCCATAAAAAGCAATAAAAACTCTCCCCATGAACCCTACTAGGCATTTTTATTCCGGGACCCTGCTGTTGGTCATATTGGACCCCTCATTGGCAAATTTCTGGAGACACCACTGGCCAAGTTTTTTGTCTTCATTTAATTCTACTTTTCTCATGTTTTAGTTTGGTGTCAACTTCAAGAGACCATCCAATCCACATGTGGGATGCTTTCACAGAGGAGCTAAGATGCACTTACAGAGCCTACAATCATCTTGTAAGTTTGTTTTTGTAGTTTCTCAGTTTCCAGGGTCTGTTTTCATTATTTACACACTGAGTAACAAGTAGAATAAAACAATTAAATTGAACTGGCTAACTTTCTTATAGGATGAGGTTACAAGTGCCTTCTCTGTAGCCTTTAGTCCTGATGGTTCAAAACTATATACTGGCTTTAAAAAGATGGTCCGAGTGTTTAATACGGACAGGCCCGGGAGAGATTTTGAGGCAAGACCAACACTCGGTAAGGAATTTTACCTATTTCTTTCCTCACACTAGAACCAGATCCCACAGACTTGCCCTATAAAACATATGATTATGCATTTGGGAGTGATAAAAATGGCAGTATAGATGAAGCATTAACAAGTACAGTACTACATTAGGTTTTCTGGTGAAAACAGTTGTGTTCATTGGCACCAGCTTGGTGCATCACAAAAAAAAAAAAAATTGTCGTTATCATTCTCATTCTTAATTTTTTTACATGTGATTCACTTGTCTTCCTTGTTGAAAACATTTGCAGTAAAGGGGATCGGCCAGTCTGGAATCATTTCTTGTTTTGCGATGGACGCGAGTGGTAATCTTTATGCAGCCGGTTCATATTCAAAGTCAAGTAAGTAACTGCTGTGGATTTCAAATATATAACAAAATATTAATACAAAAAGAATATTTTCTTCACTTTAATGAACTTGTTTCCATTCTAGTTGGTATTTACTGCGAATCATCTGGGACACAGTATTGTGTACTAGAAGGCCATGCTGGGGGTGTGACACAGCTTATGTTCTCACCAGATGGTACGAAGGTGTACAGTGGAGCAAGAGTGGTAAATTTAGTTGTTACCGGTATATGTTATAAAAGAATATTGAATGTGAAATGCGGAGTTGTCATAAATTCAGAATAAAGTTACCCCATTCTGAAATTTATCAGATTACAATTTTAATAGACAAAGTTCCTGTCTACACTGTAGTAATACTGTACTGCATTTGATTATGTTACGTAATATTTCTTTACCACTTTATTTTACAGGACCCAGAAATTCTCTGTTGGGATGTTCGTAAACCTGGAGTGATTTTATGCCGAATGCAGCGCGAGGTTACCACTAACCAAAGAATGTACTTTGACCTTGATAGGTATGTATATATTTTTTTTTTAAAGAATTTACTGTACTGAGTATCACACATAGAGTTAATAATAAGAATACTAGAGCGCTAACTGCAATGTATTCGATGTTGAAAATACGCAGAGCTGTGTGTGTGTACCATCCAAGATGGCTGCCATAGATTCAGCTAATCAAATTTTGCCTAAGCACCATCATTTACAATTGCGCCCCCAATTTTCACAGAAAGTTCAGTATATCTAGTTACCTGTATGTTTGAAACTGTAATGTACACAATTTTAATTTTCATTCCTTGGAACTTTATTTTTAAATAAGATGCTCCACTTGGCCTCGTTTTGGCTAGGATATTTTTATAATTTGTTATTACCATCACTCATTATCATTAATGAAATTAATAGTCAGTCAGAGGGCTTATTTATGGTAATAATATGTATACTAAGCCTGAAGGTGGCGCTTTACTACGACGGCCATCTTGGATGGTACACATACATAACTCTGCATTGCTTCGCCATCTTGTCAGCACTCTAGTTGTTTAATAGCTCTATGGTATCACATGAAAGAGGATTTCACTACTGAGTCATGGTTATCATTTTTAGTACTGGCCAGTTCCTGATCTCCGGCAACCAGTCAGGACATGTGACTGTTTGGGACACAACTTCTGCTCCGACATCACCTAGTATGTATGAAGAACCAACTATTCAACCTCTGACTTCATTCATCTCACACAGTGATGCAGCAAATGGCATCAGGTAAGATAACAGATTACAAAATACAAGGAAGCCTGAACAAATGAAGTCGTCTTCACAATGATTATACTGGATCTAAAATTGGTAGCTTAATTTTAGGTCTCATATTTTGTTCAAAGACGGTACAACATTTTAGTTGTATTTAATCAATCAATCAACATATATTATAACACACCTAAATAGATCCCAGTAATTTCATTGGTTGGTTTTGAACCAATGTGACATTAGTTATTTAGCCCATTTCATCGCTCATCGTTGAAATTTTGTTACGTCATCCATTGCAACGTTGCCTATGAATATGAAATGACTTCAACCTAATACAATCTTTTGATTGGTTAAAGACGCGGGACTGACTTTTCCTGAGGGTTAAAACCATGAAATGTCACACCACCTGCAGGTATAACCTTACAAAGGCCTACTTCTTGCTGAACTTCTAGCAAGCCGAACCGATCTAGTTAGGTGTTTTATGAAACAAATAATGTTTTTTATTTGTACAATGGAAAGAACGTTTTCATGAGTTGAAAGTTCGATTGTTCCATTCAACTGTGCTCCGCCTCGTTGAATGGAACAGTCAATCTTTCAACTCATGAAAATATTCTTCCCATTGCACTCACAAACATTCATTATTTGTATATTAACGTCTATTTTCAAATCTTTCTACAGTTACCATCCCAGTATGCCAATGATAGCAACTGCTTCAGGTCAAAGGAAGTTCCTGACCCCTATGTTGGATGCGGATGAACAAGACGAAGACCTTGTGTCCGATAATACATCTGAAAACTGTTTACGTCTGTGGTCTTTGTGTTGAGTAATTTGTATATTTTATTTTAAATCTTTGAAAATACCCCAAATAAATATTACTAAAAAAGTGTTTGCAGTATTGTAGTCATAAACTTTCTGTTTATTAAGACTCACATGACAACACAACTACAAACGATGTTGCTAAAACTACTCTCTTAATCTTTTATGTTTTATAATGCTGAATATAACTATACATTTTTTTTTTTAAATATGTAAAACATTCTACACACTATCTAATAGTACTTCCAACATCTTGCTTACAAGTACAGTTGCTATTGAATGTGTACGACGAGATATAAATAAAAGAGACATAATGTATTTGTTATGGCATTTTTCAATTAAAGTTTTGAGCATTGGTAGTATTGCACCACTAAAAGCTACAGGTACCAAATCTTACTTGTGGTATGATTATATTTCTTGATCAGTTGATCCTTTGATCATTCTGAATCCTGCACTTGCCTCTAACTGGTAGTGTGAGCACAACCTACTGTAAAGCAGTGGGTTAATACCAAGTACCACTAAATCAAATGGCCGTATGGCAACGTGAGGTGACCACTAATTCCGCCACCACATTTATCAGTCTTTCTTGTGGTCAAATCTTACTTGTAGTGTGACTATATTTCTTGATCAGTTACCATTTGAGCTGAGGGGGACATTTTCTCTGACTGCCTAAATTCAAAATATACAAACATCTCATTGGTAGTGTCAACACAGACTACTGTAAAGCAATGGGTAAGTGCCAAGCACCACTAATTCCAGTGATCACTAATTCATAGCTGCACCACATTTATCAGTCATTCATATTAATGGAGGGACATCTGGGTCATCAATGAAGTCGTGGCTGTTTGGACGTTCAATAGCTGGTTTCTGTCGTTTACCATTATAAGGTTTGTTAGTGGAAAGGCACTTAGTCTGAGTGACTAGCAAGTCAATGGTCTTTGCAGCTGATGGGTCTACTTCTAAGCGCTCAATCTCGTTCCTGAAAAACGAAATAAAAAAAAAAATTAGAGGACTTAGACTTAGAGGAACACATTAAAAAGTAAATTTTCTTCTCTTGGTCACTGGTGCTGGTTCTGGCATAGCAAGCCCCCATATATTGTATTGCTTCAAAAAAATTCTAACCTTTTATTTTTTTCTCCATCATTGTTTTTATTTCCATATTCACATGGCAATAATCTGCCAGGTTTCCTTGGATGAAGCTGAAACAAAAGATTATTTAGATTTTAAAAACTAAGGTCACATTTTACAACTAAGGTCACATTTTACAACTACTGTACAGTACTAAAATAATCAAAATTATTTACACTTTATTTTGAAATGCACCATCCAGTTTTAAACTGAAGACCTACAATTCGCTTATACACACATATAGTATAGCATACAATTCTTAATGGGAATCATTCAAAACAAGGCTAATACCACTATGATGTGTGGGTTGCTAATTAAAAAAAACTGAAAATAGATGAAAAAGTAAACTTTTTATTAGTTCCTATGCATGTAATGCAATAGGAACTATTGTAATCACTTTTGCTATTTCCTATGTTTTTTATTGTGTGTAGTGTGTGTGTGTGTAGACATTTATGCAAATGCGCATGCGTCAAAGAAAAGTTTTCCGACATTTTGTTTTACATCGCGATGCGAAGATCGATGTGAAGTTTCTGCAGAGTTCAGTCAGGGCTCACGCTAACCGACCGGAAAGTCGGCATGGATGAAACTATTTTGGTTTTACAGCAAAAAAATCAACTGCTGCAGGCATAGGTATTGTGAAGAAGGCCTAAAATAAAAGTAAAATGTTATAAAACTTGCTGAAATGCAACGTTTTTTCATTTAGATTTCCATTTTTTACTAAGTCCATGCGACGTTTTTTTTTGTTGTATACGTATGAGTAGTCATATGAAGGTACTATATCCCCGACAATTCGCTGTGCAGCAATGTACCCTTTGAATGCAAACTGAAAACAGGTGAAAATATAAAGGCAGCCGACTGTCGGGTACATAACGACTATCTAGCTTTCCACAAAAACATGAGGCCTAAGCTAGGCCTAG